CTATGCTGACTCTGCCGTTCGCTCCAACTGTGGGCGACCCGCGATGCTGCTGCACGTCTTGCTGTGCGTCGCCACCTCCCTTCCTCTGAGCGTGCCCACTTTAGTCAGTGCAAGACCGCTCAGGCCTTGTACGACGCTGTAGTTGCGCGCTACTCCTCCCCTTCCTCCGCTACCCTTAGCCGCCTCATGCTACCGTTTCTCTTCCCTGACCTCGCTTCCTTTCCCACTGTCGCTGACCCTCGTTACCCACCTCCGCGCTGGTGACACCCGCTACCGCGCTGCCCTTCCTGCTGAGTTCCGCGCTGCGAACCCTCCTCCATGTACATCACTCTCTACTTTCTCGTCACCCGTCTCCCTGAGTCCCTTCGTGTCGTTAGGGACCAGTTTCTCTCTGTCTGTCCCACCACTCTCACTGTCGACCTCCTTGAGGAGTCCCTGCTAGCGGCTGAGAAGAGTATTGTCGCTGTAGGGGCCTCTCGGGGTGACCCTCGCACCCCCATCTTTGAGGGGTGTTGGTCCCTCCCCCCTGCTGCCCTCTGTCGCCTCTGCCGCTGCGGCCGACCTCGTTGGTTTTGATAGTCGGTCGGCGCGGCGTCTGCCCCCAGTGGCAGACGCCGCACTGGCAAGGGCAAGGGGGGCAAGGGATGCGGGTGGAGCCAGAGGGGGCGGTGGAGGAGGCGGTGTGGGGTGGAGGGGGGAGTGGGGGTGGCGGGGGGGGTGGTGGCGGGAGTGGAGGTAGTAGTGGCGGCGGTGGAGGCGGAGGTGGCGGCGGAGGTGGTAGCGGAGGAGGGCGGTGGGAGCGGTGGGAGCGACGGTCCTGATGGGGGAGGTGGCGGTGGCGACGGGGGTGGCGGTGGAGGCGGGGGTGGCGGTGGAGGAGGGGGTCGGAGTGGCTTCGTCCCAGCGGAGCAGCTCTGGGGGTGGTCAGCGCCAGCAGCAGCAGCAGCAGCAGCCGCAGCAGCAGCCGCAGCAGCAGCAGCGCTCTCGCACCGTCCCCGGCCCTCAGCAGCTCCGTGAGTGGTACTTGCAGCGTCAGCGCGGTGGTGCGCTTGGTCCCTGCCCCTACGTTCTTCGCACTGGTGACCGTGCAGGGGAGAGGTGTGGAGGCGCCCACACAGCCCGTCGCTGCTTTTGGCCGCCTGACCGACGCCTGGCGTCAGCAGTTTTCCGGAGGCCGCTGAGATCCCCCGCTGGGGAGAGCTGTCTAGGGCTGGTGTAGCTATTTATGATCTTGATTTTGATGCTATTCTCTCTGCTATGTATGCTGCGATGGTAGTGATGAGGATGACTGTTACCGGTGTTTCCCGCCCGACCCGGGCATTGGTACTGCCGCGTCAGGTACTAGTGAGGCTGCTGCTCTAGGTGTCAGTGCGTCTGTGCTTTCAGGTACTGGTGAGTCCGCCCTCTCAGATACTGTGTCGGCTTCGGCCTCTCACACCATCACCCTTGACTCTGGAGCGTCTCGCTCCTTCTTTAGGGACCGCACCACTCTCACGCCGCTGAGTCGGCCTGTTGCGGTGTCCCTGGCGGACCCCTCTGGGGGGCCTGTCCTGTCTCGCTTCTCCACTGTCCTCCCGTGTCCGGCGGCCCCCTCTGGCACCCTGACTGGTCTCTACCTCCCCTCGTTCTCGACGAACTTGGTGAGTGGTGCTGACCTCCAGGATGCAGGTGTCCACCAGTTCACCCCTGCTCGTCAGCGGGTGACCCACTGTACGGAGGCGGATACAGGTCGCCACCTGGCTACGTTTACACGTCGGCCGGGGTCGAGCCTGTACACACTGACCACTGCTTCTCCTCCAGGTACTGCGTCTGGTAGGGCCCCTTCGTCTGGTCAGGTGTTTGCTGCAGCGTCCAGGTCTGGTCCTGAGTCTGCCCCTTGTTCGTGTCGTCGTCTGTCTCACGAGACCCTCCTCTGGCACCACCGCCTTGGCCACCCCTCTCTGCTTCGGCTCAGAGGCATGGCCTCGCGGGTCCTTGTGTCTGGTCTTCCCCGGTCCCTCCCTCCCCTTCCTCCGGGCCCTGGCCCTGCTGTGTCCCCTGTGTCGAGGGGCGCCAGCGTGCTGCCCCTCACTCCTCCCAGTTTCCTCCGACAGAGGCCCCGTTGCAGACGCTTCACATGGACGTGTGGGGCCCAGCCCGCGTCCGTGGACAGGGTCAGGAGCGCTACTTCCTGCTGGTGGTTGACGGACTACTCGCGTTACACCACAGTCTTCCCCTTGCGCGGCAAGGGTGAGGTCACTCAGGTGTTGATCGACTGGATCCGCGCAGCTCGTCTTCAGCTTCGGAGAAGCTTTGGCTCTGACTTCCCTGTCTTGCGTCTGCACTCGGACAGAGGCGGAGAGTTCTCCTCTGCCCTCCTGAGTGCCTACTGTCGTGTGCGAGGCATCCGTCAGACCTTCACGCTTCCGGACTCACCACAGCAGAATGGGATCGCTGAGCGCCGCATTGGCATGGTCATGGACGTTCGCTCGTACGTCCATGATGCATGCGGCTGCTCCCCATTTTCTGTGGCCGTTTGCGGTCAGGTACGCTGCGCACCAGATCAACCTCCACCCCAGGGTCTCTCGACCGGAGACCTCCCCAGCTCTGTTGTGGACGGGGAAGGTTGGCGATGCGTCGGCGTTCCGGGTCTGGGGATCTCGGGCGTTTGTTCGCGACCTGTCTGCGGACAAGCTGTCCCCTCGTGCTTCTCCCTGCGTCTTCCTCGGGTTCCCCCCCGACGCCCCTGGGTGGCAGTTTTACCACCCCACCTCTCGACGTGTTCTGTCCTCCCAGGACGTCACGTTCGACGAGTCGGTACCCTACTACCGCCTCTTCCCCTACCGCACTCCGTCCCTCCCCCCACCCCCGCTCTTCTTGGTACCAGGTCCCCCCCCAGTAGTCCCCCTCCCCCCTCTGGGTCCTGCCCCTTCAGGTGTGTCTCAGGTAGACGCGGTCGAGCCTGTCGAGGTCACTGGTGACTCCGGTGCTGCTGCGGGAGCTGAGCCTGGGGGTGCGGAGTCTAGGGGTGCTGAGCCTGGGGGTGCTGAGCCTGGGGGTGCGGAGTCTGGGGGTGCTGGGCCTGGGGGTGCTGAGCCTGGGGGTGCTGTGCCTGGGGGTGCTGAGCCTGGGGGTGCTGTGCCTGGGGGTGCTGTGTCTGGGGGTACTGAGCCTGGGGGTGCTGAGCCTGGGGGTGCTGAGCCTGGAGGTGCCGAGCCTGGAGGTGCTGTGCCTGGAGGTGCTTCGTCTCGCCGGGAGCCGCTCTCTCCACAGGAGCTGCGTGAGTGGTTTGCCCGGCGCTGGAGGCATGCCGCTGGTGCTGGTGGTTCTTCGGCTGCGGAGGGCGCTGCTGCCACGCGACCTGGCGGTGCTCGTCCTGTGGGTGCTGGAGCTGCTGGGTCTGAGGGTTCTCCTGGAGCTGGTCCTGCTGAGGATGTTGGCGCTGAGCCTGCGGTTGGTGGTCCGACTGACGGTGCTCCTGGTGCTGCTGCTGGAGGTTCTGGAGCTTCTGGTGGTTCTGCTGGAGGTGCTGCTGGAGTGGGTGCTCCGGCCGGAGCTGCTGGTTCTGTTCCTGCTGTTTCTGGCGTCGCCGCGCGGTCTCGACCGTACTTCGTTCCGCTCCTGGAGCAGGTTCTTGGTCTTGCTCCTCCTCCTCCTCCTCCCTTAGAGGGTCCGCAGCCTGTCCGGTCACAGCCACAGCTAGAGCCTGCCTCCCCTTTGCCTGCTCCTTCTCCCTACGCTGGTCCGACTGGAGGCCTTACTGAGCGTCGTGAGCCTGCGTCTCGTCCTGCGTCGCCTGTTCGTACTGAGCGCGCTAGTGGTCGCGGGTCGCGTCAGCGTCCTCCTCCTGTCCCTGGCACGCACCGGATGTCACTGCGTCCGTCCACTGCTCCTCTGCGTGCCCCTTTGCCTTCTCCTCCTGCTTCCTCTCTTCCTACTCTTGCCGACCCGGAGTCGGACTCTCTTCGTGCTGCCAGTCCTACTGTCACGCGTCTCCTTGCTACTGCTGTCACTGACCCTTCCTTCGAGTCGTCTGCTGCGTCTGCCCTTGTCACTGAGCTTGTCGACTTTGCTGCGCGCTGTCGTCTAGACTACGCTGCTCGTCTTGTCGCTGAGTCAGAGTCCGCCTGTCCTCCGTCCGTCGGGGGTGAGTGTGCCCTTGGCACGGACGTCCTAGAGGACAGGCAGGAGGAGTTCCAGTGTCTAGCCGCTGCTTCACCTCGTCTCGCGTCTGTACTGCTAGCCCCTGAGGGAGACCCGGATGCACTAGACATCCCGACTCCGCGTTCTTACGCGGAGGCCGTAGAGGGTCCCTACTCCTCTCAGTGGCAGGCAGCTATGGATGCAGAGATGGCTTCCTGGAAGTCCACAGGCACCTACGTTGACGCGGTTCCCCCTCCTGGGGCGAACATCGTCAGTGGCATGTGGATCTTCAAGGTGAAGCGGCCGCCGGGCTCGCCGCCTGTCTTCAAGGCGCGTTACGTGGCTCGTGGCTTCAGTCAGCGGCAGGGAGTTGACTACTTTCAGACCTTCTCTCCCACCCCGAAGATGACCACTCTTCGGGTGCTGCTGCACATTGCCGCTCAGCGCGACTACGAGCTTCACTCTCTCGACTTCAGCACTGCGTTCCTGCAGGGTAGCCTGCACGAGGAGATCTGGCTGCGTCGCCCACCTGGCTTCACTGGGTCTTTCCCTCCTGGTACCCAGTGGAGTCTCCGGCGTCCAGTCTACGGTCTCCGCCAGGCGCCACGTGAGTGGCACGACACACTGAGGACTACGCTCGCGGCACTTGGGTTTGCTCCTTCCACTGCCGACCCGTCGCTGTTTCTGCGCACCGACACCTCTCTGCCGCCGTTCTACATCCTCGTGTACGTCGACGACTTGGTCTTTGCCACAGCTGACACTGCTGGACTCGCCTACGTGAAGTCCGAGCTGCAGAAGAGACACACGTGCACAGACCTGGGTGAACTGCGCAGCTACCTTGGCTTGCAGATCACCCGGGACAGAGCACGCCGCACCATTACCCTGACTCAGTCACACATGGTGCAGCAGGTCCTTCAGCGCTTCGGCTTCACGTACTCCTCGCCTCAGGCCACTCCTCTGCCTACTCGCCACTCGCTCTCAGCTCTGCCTTCGGATGAGTCCGTAGAGTCGAGTGGCCCGTTTGCAGAGCTTGTTGGCTGCCTCATGTACCTGATGACCTGCACACGACCTGACCTCGCATACCCTCTTAGCATTCTCGCACGCTTTTTTGCTCCTGGGAGACACCGACCAGAGCACATGGCTGCAGCGAAGAGGGTGTTGCGCTACTTGTGCAGTACGTCGGGCATGGGGCTAGTGCTTGGAGGGCGCAGTCCAGTGGTCCTCACTGGGCACGCAAACGCTTCTTGGGCTGACGACCAGGCTACGCAGCGGTCGTCACAGGGTTACACCTTCAGCCTTGGTTCCGGCTCTGTCTCGTGGCGCGCTACCCGCTCGTCTTCTGTTCTCGGCTCCAGTTGTGAGGCTGAGATCTACGCTGGGGCTATGGCCGCACAGGAGTTACGCTGGCTCACCTACCTGCTGACCGACCTTGGAGAGCAGCCTCGTTCTCCTCCAGTCCTGTACGTAGACAACAAGGCCATGCTGGCCTTGTGTCGTGAACAGCGACTGGAGCACAGAACGAAGCACATTGCTCTTCGCTACTTTCTTGCTCGTGAGCTACAGCAGCGTGGACAGCTGCGACTTGCGTACGTGGCCTCTGAGGCCAACACTGCTGATGTCTTCACCAAGGCACTTGCGCCTTGCGACCATCAGCGCTTTTGTACCCAGCTGGGTCTTGTACCTGTCTTGCCTCACTTGCTCTCTTCTTGACTTTACTTGTACTTTGACATATATATACCTGCTCTTGCTTGTCTAGTTTTATATATATGTCTGTACTCCTGCATGTGAACTGGCCTCTGGCCTTGCTCTTGTGCTCGGACTGTGTGGTGACTTTGTGATCCACCCTGAGCTTGCTTTGCTTTGCTTGACTGGTCTTGTGACCCCTTGTTCTCCCC